AGAGAGAGAGAGAGAGAGAGAGAGAGAGAGGCGAAGAATGAATTGAATAGTGAATTGATTTGCGATTGTTTTATATCACAAAAATTAGTTTTGAAGAGCGATTCACAACAACTCTCCACAAACTAATCGTCACCAGAAAAAAAACACACAAAACCATAAATCAATCAAATGGCAAACTGGAAAGTGTTGACCATAACATCGGTGACAATCGGCGTGTGCGGACTCGTATTGATGATCACACTCTTCACAGCCACCGGCGGTTACGTACCCTTTGATGTAAGCGCTCATTAAAAACACACACAGAATCCTATATAACAGTATAAACCAGAATCCTATAAACCAAAACAAAAGTTGTTATAAACTTTTGCCCACAGAATCCTATGATATTCTTACATAAAATTCTTGAATGTAATTAACAAAACAATTATACAACCAATGGATAGTATGGTGTAGTACTGGACGCCGGGTCGTCGCACACGCAGATCACACTTTACCACTGGAAGGCCGATAAGGAGAGGTGTACGGGAGTGGTCGAGCAGTTGGACACGTGCCGTATTGAGGGCGGCATCAGTGGCTACAACGTGTCCGACCCGTCGGGCGTCGGCCAGGATCTGATACAATGTATTTATAATGTGAGCACTAAGATAGACAAGGATCGCAAGTTTATGACACCGCTATACTTGGGCTCCACCGCCGGTATGCGGTTACTCAACATCACGGCGCCGGACAAAGTGAAGCTTATTTTTAAGCTGATCCGCGACGCCTTTCTGCTCAGTTCTGGCCTTCAGGTGCAGTGCACTGACATTATTAGCGGCCAGAATGAGGGTCTCTTCTCGTGGGTGACCAACAATTATCTCATGAATAAGCTGGTGGTCGACCGGTTCGACGGCCATCAGCCCAACTCCACGATCGGTATGCTAGACATGGGCGGGGCTTCGGCTCAGATCGCCTATCGGGCCGGCGATAGCGTCGGCGGAGGTGTCGGCGGCGGCGGACTTACTAAAAACGTGACCGACGATGACGTTAACGTCCGCCTATACGGCATCAATCATACCGTCCGGGCGTCGAGTAACCTGTGTTTCGGTGTGGATCAGGCGATGTTGAGATACCAGATGTATCTCATAGTCACACACCCGGAGCGAATCGACCCGACCATTGACAGCCCGTGCACTCCCATTGGGTCGCAGATTACTGTTCCCGGCTCTGTGTTTAGGGACCAGATATGTGCTAAGACTAAGAAGTCAATCAATTACGACCGCAACTATACCTTCAGTGGCATTAGCTATGATAGAGATGGCAACGACTGTTCGGCCCTAATATCTAACCACTTGTTGAACACGAATGAGTGCCGACAAACATTTGACATGTGCTTCGAGACAGAGGCGGGCCCTCCGCCACAGGCGACCCAATTCTACGCCCTGTCCTCCTATTACTATACCGTCCGTATTCTGAACCTAACGGTGACCACAGCCGACGAGTATCGGCAAAAGACCGACGCCTTTTGTCGCCTGAATCGGGACGCTATGCTCCAGAACCCGCTGGTTGTGGCCAAGTATGTGGACGTGTATTGTTTTCAACTCAACTACATCTACAACACCATCAAAAACGTGTACCGATTTCCGGACAATCAGTGGCCAAACATACGGTTCTCGAACTCGATTAAGGACACGACCCTCGGCTGGTCTCTCGGCTTTATGATCAACGCGACCAACGCTATCGCGGCCGAGAAGCCGACCCCACCGGTGGTCGAACTCTTCCCATTCACACTCGTCTGCATATTCTGCTCATTAATACTCGCCTTCAGTATATATTTCGGCATTAAATGGCATAAAACCAATGAATCCCAGCGCAAAGAACAGTACGAACCCATTAGTATTAGCTCTTAATCTTAACATCAATTAACCACTGCTTACCAGACAATTAACACATTGATTGCCAGACAATATATCATATTTAGGCGTTTAGTCAACCAAATCATAAGTCAATCATTGCTTTGATTTCAACTAATTTATAGTTAAATTATCTTAGGTTTAGATATAATGAGAGAAATTTTTAATTTAATTTATAAATTTAGTAATTGTTTGAAATGTTTCGCGAATTTCTTTATCGAAAAGTTTATTTGTAATTAATTTTGTGTGTATTTTAATGATTAAAATTAATTTAATTTCACTTTTTGTTTGTCTCTTGATATAGATTGCAATCGCAGGCGAAAGCCATTTATCTTTAGTACAAAACAAATGCTAATAATATCTTAAAGTTTATTTTTTTTGATTGATTTTATTTTTAATTCAGTTTTGTTTTTAAATTATATTATATATTTGTATCGCAAAAGGCTATTGTTTTACACACTATTGTAATTATTATATAATTTACATGTAATTTAATGAAAATTGTTAAGAAAAATCATGTTTTGTGTTTGAAATATAAATGTAATGTTTATTTTTAAGTGTAATTATTATAAAATTATGTAATTAAGAAAAATTTATATACAAAATGAGATTTAAGTTTTAAATAAATAAAATATTTTTAAAACAATTTCTCTGTTTAAACAATAGTTTATTTAAACAATTGCCTGAAGACTACATAAAAGTTGAAAATTGCATATTATAATCAGCATATACTGTAATTAAATCTCAATTAAAACAATTAGAAATAATATAAAATAAGCTTGTACATTCAAAGACCTTGTACAGACCAGGATGCTATACTTAACCACTTTTAAGATTTAAACATAACAATTGCATAATATATTATTTAATCACTGATTACATTGTAAATCTATCACATTGTTTTAATTAAATATTATGTCATACAATATAGCTGACTTAATTAGATAATATTTATCAAATGTTAGTTTTATTGTTTGACAATTACAACAATTAAGTGAAAATTGCTGCTTTACCACCTTGTTTGTTTATTACACATACTTTTTACACTTGTTAAATAAATACTCATAAAATTTATGACATTATGCTTAAATTTGAACCCAATTGATAGTATTGACGGTATTGTATTACATAACTGGTCCGCCAATTATTATCGGTATATTTCTGGCCATAAAAAGCCGAAATGCGGTAAATCGAGACAACAAAGAAATTAATTGTCATAATAATTAACGTTTAAAACAATTACAGCATTATTTAATGATCAAACTTCAGTACACTTTTTGTCAATTAACAGCTGTGATTATCATATTTTGCAATGAGTTTAATGAATGAATTAATAAATAATAATTAATCATAACTTGTATACAGTATTACAAATTAATTAATATGAGCTCAGTCTGGGACATGTATTGCACAATCAGTTGTCTTACCATAAATTCATTGCCAAAAACTAGAATCAAATGACAAACAAAAGGTCACTGACCATCGGATTGGTAACCCGGAGCTTATGCCGACTCGTTGTAATCATACCAATCTTCGCGGCCACCGCTCTTGATCTGTCACATGATGTGAGCTTTTAGTTAAACAACACAATAAAACATGACATCGATTCCTACCTTCAAGAATCATGTCTTAACGCAATATTCTCTAAACATTTACCACGTTTTACACCCGAATCAATAGTATGGTATAGTATTAGACGCCGGTTCGTCGCACACGGAGGTCACACTTTACCGCTGGAAGGCTGATAGGGACAGGTGTAAGGGAACGGTTGAGGAGATCGACACGTGCAAAGTCGACGGTGGTATCAGTGGTTACGATCTGCTATTAACCGGTGAGTCAGCCATCGCTCAGGATCTGTTGCGATGCGTGCGTAATGTGAGCGCAAAGATATTCATATTGCGGCCATATTTGACGCCCTTATACTTGGGCGCCACCGCCGGTATGCGTGCCCTTAACGACACCTCACCCGACACAGTCCACAATATACTTCATCTGATCCGTCGAGTGCTGCACTCGCATACAAAATTTCAGGTGAAGACTACGGACATCATTAGCGGCGCGGCGGAGGGTATGCTCTCGTGGGTGACCGCCAACTATCTGTTGGACAATCTTCACTACAATGACGACGGCTCGCCGACGGCCACCGATGGTATGCTTGATATGGGCGGTAAGTCAGCGCAGATAGCCTATGGAACCGGTAATAAGACCGCCGATACGGTCACAATACAAATCTGTGGCCTCAATCATACGGTACGGACATCGAGTAATATGTGTTTTGGTACGGATCTGGCGATCTTGAGATACCAGATGTATTTGATCGCCACGGCTGCCAACCCGTACGCGCCCATTGACAGCCCATGTCTGCCAATTGGGGCCACAATCACTGTCGCCGGCACTGCCTTCAAAAATCAGATGTGTCTTAAGACTAAGAAACCCATTATCACTGATTATACCAAAGTTTATGTATTCAAAGGTGTCAGTCGTAGCGACGATTGTTCCGCAATCATCGCCGACCACTTGTTGAGCACCACGTCGTGCGCCGACATGTTTGACATGTGTTTACACGTAGAGGACAGTCCGCCGCCCGTCGGCACCCAATTCTACGCCCTCTCCAACTACTACTATATGGCATCTGTACTCAACCTAACGGTGACCACCGCCGAGATATACCGACAAAAATCGACTGAGTTGTGTTCGCTGAACAGGGAATCGCTGCTTAAAAACCCGCTGGTATCGGCCAGATATGTGGACGCCTATTGTTTCAAGTTTCACTACATCTACACAACCATTAAACATGTGTATAAGTTTGCCGACAACCAGTGGCCACATATCAAATTCTCGGCCAATATTCACGGCCAGCCTCTGGGCTGGTCTCTGGGATATATGATCAACGCTACCAAAGCCATTGCGCCAAAGGGGTTACCGTTAGTACTTCGGTACGCTCACGCGTTCGCCCACCGGGCCATCACTAATATCAATTTCCATTAATTTTACCCTGGGCATACTTTGTTAAATTTTATTTCAATTATTAAATAATACTAGTTAAATAAAAACAATTTTTATAAATCAAAAGTTTATTTAAACATTTGCTATAATAGTGGTTAATATTTCGTAACATACAGTTGTAATGATATAAAAATATGTTATAAACACTATTTAATAAATTTATTAATTCAATATAAAAATATATAATTAAATCTCAAAACAATGATATATTTGACCCGAAGTCAACTCCTTTTGCATATGCATTGAAAATATTACTAAATTATTACTATAATTACAATTATTATCTTAATCTCAAGTCTGAAACCACGGGTGATGTCTGAAAGAAACTATCAATGAATTGGCATTCATTTAACACTAAATCTCTGGACACAAACCAATTCATTGATCATTAAGATGTATATCACATAACGGATCAACTCATACAGCAAACCATCACATATTAATCAGACAAATAAATTTAACTCTAGATCTAAAACAACAAAAATCACATTCAAGTGCCGCACGCGGAACAAGTGGACGGGCGGAGGGGGCGGGCGGTCAAGGGGTATAAATACAAGCAAAAGGGATGGGAGTTATTGGCACTACTTGTGAGGCGAGTGTGGGGGCGGGTGTGATGTCTGATGGGCCGGTAGTACGGGCTGTAGTCGGCGCTCGCGTTCGGTCTGATTGTACTTCTCGGTGGCCGCGACCTCAATGTGTCGGGAAGTGTTCGATTGTAGCCGCAGTGCGCGGCGTCTGAGTTGGTCCGACTGGTGCCTCAGCCCTGCCATCTCCTTCTTGATGGCCCGGAGTTTATTGCAATAGTAGTTGGCTTTGGCCAACAGCTGATCCATATCGAGGTCTTTGTCCACCGTCTGGTACTTCTCGTTCTCGGCCTCCAACGCGTCGATCAGCGACTTCTGGTACCGATTCAGCTCATCCATCGACATGTCTTCGCGACGATTGTCTTCCGCTCAACGCATGCACTGACACAACTGTCACAACCAATCGATACGCCAATTGTCACCACAAAAATGTCTTAATTATCTTCAGATACCACTTGTATTGCCAGCAATTGTATTGTTTTGTTGTGTTTTTTATTACACCCAATCATCGAAAGACTCACACAAATAGTGTTACAAAAAATCATTGTTTATTTATATAAACTTTACGTACAATTGTTATGCGAGTGAGAGATGGGGGACATTATAGTAAACATAAATCGTAACGTTATTACGTATGGCTCACAACGTTATGACACCTATTGGTAGTGAAAAGCACTGAAATTCAATGTTTTTGTTTTGAAGTCAATTAAAAAACTTAAAATATTTATTCATCACTCAATTTGATCCACAACTCAATGACAACTCCTATTGAATAGCACTTCTTTGGCCATCATTTGATCCACGAGATAGTGTCAGACAACAGACACAACGACAACCGCTGAAGAATGGCCTCCAAGAGGGGACCCAAAGTGAAACTGATGGCAATGCCGTCGCAAAACTTCATCGCTTTAGGTATGCATTGAATTGATCCCAACGGGTGATAATCATACCATGAATTGTATACCATTGTCTCATTGCAACCCTTCCTCTTCAGGCACGACATCATCAGCGACTGCGGCCACACAACCGACGGCACTCCAGTCGCTGAAGACGGGCGCAAAACGCGAGACACCGGCCGACTCGGCGGCGCCGTTAGGGGCGGCCGCTGTTGCCGGCGGCGCGTCGGCGCCCAAGAAGTCGAAACTGCAACTCTCGCATCACATGACACGCTCGACGGGCAGCGCTATGCCGGCCGTACGGCGCGAGTCGGGCGACCAATGGGAAGAGTTGGCTCAAGAAGTGGATCCGACGGGTCTGTTGGCGCGCGTACTCGAGGCCGAAGACGTGAGCGATGAACGCGTGGAGGCGTTACTGTGCGGAGCGGTTAAGCAGTTGCGCGGCGGCCAGCGGTCGAAGCCGGACGCGGCTCTGTATATGACTCTCGTCTATTTGGCCAAAACGCGTCCGCTTTTGTTTTGCACCGAAGTCTGTGTCGAGGCGTTCAGTTCGCTGCTGAGACGGGAGCCGACAGCGCTCGTCGGCTTTAAGCCCAAACCAGTGGCCGTCGGCAACAGTACGGTCCCGGTGTTGGCCGCGAACATACTGCTGGCCGTATATCACGACGAGAACAACTGGCCCGACACCTTCCTCAAGGTGTTTGTGGAGGACTCGTTGGCCGAACGCGTTTGGGTCGACCACGAAGACTGCAAGGGCTTTGTGGACAACATACTGGCCTCGTTTGGCACCCGATTGCCGCCCAAGTCTATGATGCAACAGGACGTGCTCGCCGTCGCCACCACCGCCTCCGGCAGCGCAGCCAAAATGCCCGACCCGTCCAGCGTTACCAGCAGTCCGTCTCAGTCGACCGGCAACGCCGACGACGCCTCGATGGACGAGACGCTGCCGGCGAGTGCCGTATCGGCCGAACTCCGGGAACACTTGGATAATATCGCTGTAATGTCACGATTCGCGCACAACGAGTCGTTTGTTGTCCAATACGTGACGGATGTGATCAATGAGGGACTCACACGACGCGCGGCGCCCAGCGATGTGTCCAGAAATATGCTTAAGCTGTTGATATCGACCGCCGGTTTACCAACGGTTCGGCTCATTATCGCACAGAAGCTTGAGATGTGGATTCAAAACCCAAAGGTATGNTCACACGACGCGCGGCGCCCAGCGATGTGTCCAGAAATATGCTTAAGCTGTTGATATCGACCGCCGGTTTACCAACGGTTCGGCTCATTATCGCACAGAAGCTTGAGATGTGGATTCAAAACCCAAAGGTATGTATTATTATAGTTAATGTAATTGAATACCTGTGCCTATCACTGACTTTCATGTGCTATAAAATGGTTTTACACCAAAACAATTGAAATAATAATTTCAATATTCATATTTATCACTAAAACCCATGCCATCGGTAGCTGACACGTCCGGCACAGGATCTGCTGCTCTCGCTTTGCCTAAACTGCAACGAAACGGACAGCGAAGTGATCGCACTTCTTGTAAAGATGCGGCTGAAGACCAAACCCCTCATCAATCACTTCATAACGTGCGTCAAAGAGATGCTCACACAAAACGAGGACACATTTCGACTGGTCTTACGAACCGTACTCTACAACGAGGTGTCGCCGACCCGTTCCCTAAACAACATACAACTCATATCCATAATGTTTCAACACTCGCCCGATAGGGCCACCCGTGTGTTGGCCGAAGTGTTCCAAGAGATGA